CGAAACACCTCCCGAAAATTAATGAGTCTCAGGTCAATATTGCCAGACAATACTTGCTTATTTAATAATCATAGCAGTTCCTTGACAATATTGCTAAGCAAGTTTGCTTCATATAATTATGATGTTTTATTGTGAATAAATAGTCACTCAACCTATTGTTCCTCTTTTCTTTATATTTGAACCATTAATTAAACTGATATTTTCTTATATTTATGATAATACAATCATTTTTCTATCCGGCGACTTGATGCTTAAGCATCAAAATCTCTAGTTTTTAGTATTATTATATATATTTTGTTTCATACTATGAACATACATGTTTCCTTTTCTGTATAAGCTATATTCTGTTTTGTATTTAATGTTCTCTTTATGTTGCATGTAAAACGTTAGTGAAATTGTACAATGTAGTATAATTGTATTAAACTATATATAGTAACTAAAAAAGGACATTAAGGTAATTAAATGTTCATTTATCGATACTGTCAAATGAAAATACAGCAGTGATACAACATGTAATAGTTGTGTAAATTGCTGCATCAAACATTCGCAGTATACGTGCCACTTGTGTTTTACTGCCCTTTATTCTTTCCGTTGTTGTTGTTGTGTTTCTTCTGGTCCTTCAGTGTCAATGATAATTGTAAGGTTGAAAACCGATTTGGAACATTTGCATCTTTATATTTTGAGTATATTTGTTATCTTCATTTAAATAGTCAACTCAACATAATAAATTCAGGTAACAGTCCATTTCATTGCTTATATAGATAAATACTTGGATATTTTTAAATGCGATAATGTAGGGACTCCACTGAGGTTTTTTTGACATGACAGGACCGAATAAATATATTTTTTAAACTTTATGTAGGTGTGAACCAATAACTCGTGTACACAATTTCATATCATTCGCTCACTCCGCTTATTTTGGATAATTTTGTCAGATGCACAATTTGGGTTTAGAAAAGGAAAATCAACCATTGATGCTTTATTTAGTCTAATGACAGTTGTTCAAAATTATATAAATAATAATTAACGTTTGTATTGTGTTTTTGTAGACTTTAAGAAGGCTTTCGATTGTATATATAGAAACGCGCTTTGGTTAAAATTAAGTAATTGTGGGATTAGAGGTAAATTGTTACGCCTAATAAAAGACGTGTATAGTAAAGTAAAATCGTGTGTAAGGTAATGTAATAGTTACTCAGAATTCTTTAATTATGCTGTAGGTCTACGTCAAGGGGAGGTAATTTCACCGATTTTATTTTCCCTCTTTTTAGATGACTTTGAATTATTTTTACAAAGGGATGTAAATAGTGGTTTGACTTTAAACGATATTGTTTTGATTTTGTTACTGTTCGCTGATGATATGGTCATTTTAGGAAATACATCAGATGATATAAATAGAAGTTTGACATTATTAAATGATTATTGTAAAAAATGGAGCTTAGATGTAAATATCGATAAAACCAAAGATGTTGTTTTTAGAAAACGTGGAGGTTTAAAAAACAATTAATTATTTTATTACGAAGGGAAACATATAGATATTGTCGATAGATTCAATTACTTAGGAACAATATTTACTAATACTGGTTGTTTTAATTTAAATCAAGAACATTTGATTGGTAAAGCTCATAAAGCTCTAAATGTACTACTGATTAATTGTAATAGATACCAGTTAAAACCTAAAGTGTTATGTCAGCTTTTTGACACTTTTGTTGGTTTAATTTTAAATTATGCTGCTGAAATCTGGGGTTTTACTAAATCAAAGGAAATTGACAGACTTCATCTTAAATTTTGTAAAAAGATATTAAATATAAAAGTTAATTCATATAATGTTGTATTATGAATTAGCACGTTATCCTTTATATATTTCAAGATATGTTAAGATTTTAAGATTTTGGTTTAAAATGCTTGAGACAGATAATATCATTCTTAAAAATGTATATAACATTGCTCTTGAAGACAGTAATAATGGTAAGAAAAAATGGTTATCAAATCTAAAATTGTTATTATGTAATCATGGTTTTAGTGATATTTGGGATTCTGTAAATAGTAACATATTTTTACCGATGTTTAAGCAAAGGGCAATTGATTGTTCTTTTGGTAAAGAAAGCAGTCCTGTTTTGTATCTGTAAAATCATGTTAAAGATTCTTTTGTATATTATGAAAACTATCTTGATATAATACCAAGTACTTTAAGGATCTTCGCATTCATTACATGTGCAAACTGGTAGGTTTCATAGAAATAGAATTAGTTAGAAATGAAAGATATTGTTTATATTGTAATCTACATGACGTCGAAGATGAATACCATTTTATTTTAATTTGTCCTTGTTATATTGATATAAGAAAAAAATATATAAAAAGATACTATTATATAAGACCTAGTATGCTTAAATTCACTGATATGTTAAAATCAAACAATAGAAGTATACTTTTAAATTTATCCTGGTATGTACGAGATGCGATGTCTCATAGAAATTACTTAGATATAGTACATACAACTTAATATATTATAATTCATCCTCTATATTGATATGAAAGAGACATGTTTAGATGCAATCTTGTGATTTATATTGGTATGTATTGTAAAATTGTTTATACATATATATGTATGACGATGTATGATTGTACAAGTAAAAAAATTAAATATCTGTTCTGTTCTGACAATTAAATTTTATTGCACTAATTGACCCAAAATTGAAAAGCTTTGAAACGCTTTTCACTCAAATCGACTGCAAGACTGCATTAAAAATCGATCATCATTTTATTAACGAGTATAATTATACATTATTATATAGTTTTCCATTTTAAGCTCATCTGTTGATTTATGAAAAGACTTCAAATGTTATGCTTTCGGGATATTAGACCTCAGTGGACTTTTTATAGAGGGGTTCAACTGAAGTCTAAAAACCTAAAACAAAATTTTTGATTTTTAAGAAAAAAATTCTTACATAAATCAGCTGGAGGAAACAAAACAGAAAGATAATTAAGATATATACTTAAAAAATCATATTGTTGTGCTTTTCAGCCCGACTTGAGTGGAAAGCCTTTAAGCTTTAATCTCGGGTCATTTTTCACAATTAGAATAATTATTCTGGAAAAAACGAAGCGAGCAAATGATCTGAAATTACACAAGTTATTGGTCAATGCCTACATCAAACGGAACATTAATCTCTTAAAATTATTTCAAGTCCCGTCATGCAAAAAAACAACCTGTGTCCCTTTAAATCCTTATTATTTTTTTTTGGAACCTTAAAATGAAACAATTATCAACTATAGCAGCATATCAGCCAGATCATTTCATTGGCTTATAAAAGAAACAGATAACAGAAAGTTGGATCAAGATGATCAAAGATTGAATTTTCATTTGTAGTTAAAATAATGTGATCAAGACAATACTAAGTCGTTTAACGAAGTTATGCATCGAAGGGGAAGCGTTTCAACAGCTCTACCCACTGTTATGGACAAAACTGGAATAATATTGCTAAATTATAATTGAAATAAGCTTGAATGTACCTGAAGGTATTCTATACTTACAAACATATTTCACACGCTGAATGTTTTCCGATGAAAATGCAGCTAATACCACTGATTATACCATAATCTTAAATGAAGATTTAAATCAGAACAGAACGCCGATGCACGTGTCTGTATTTAGCCCACTATGGATAATGATTATGTGGGATAGCAGAAATGTAAAACGCCCGTCTAAGGTCATAATCGCTTTCTATAAATAATAAACTGATGCCACCCTGTAAATGATGAAGTTTTAAATATTGGGCGTACAATTAAGTAGGTTTATGTTACATTAAACTGATCAAGTTACAGACACGACGATGGGAATTGCGACGTAGTAGTGAAAACATAATAAGATACCGATATGTCAGCCACATTATAAATTGCAACCAACATCCCCGGCCTATTGAAATTTTATTTACGTTAGCTTATTTGAATAAATATTATAAGCATTTTACAAGTTGCATAACTTAAAACCTCAGGGGTGATCAAAACGTTTGTGGAAACGTGTAAGTGTTAGCTTAGTTATTGAACCTATGGTCTCAACGTAAGACAAAACAAATTCCGACAGTAATCTCTCAAACTGCTGACTTAGTCTAAGAAAGAAATATCTGATTAACATATAAATATGACAACAATCGAGTCAGAAACGAAAGTATAGTGAACCCATAGTTACCAATGATTGCTTAAATCAAAGAAAATTATACCAGCCGTAACGATCAGTATCGCCAGCCTTGAAAGTCAACCTGACTTATTATAGTGTTATTATTCTTCACAAGTCAAGAAGTGTAGAAACACGTTTGCGGATTTAACTAATTTCTATATATAGCGACATTTTCATGTTAAACTATTAGAAGACATTTTCATGTGTATGAGTCATGTAAGGTAAATTGCTAGGTAAATAAAGGACTGTTGTACAGGAACAAGTTCTTGCAACAGTTTCAATTATGGTGTGTCAGGGGACCATTAACGCTTCTCATTCGACGTATCTAAGTATAAAATCAGCGTTGTTTGTGTCGTCTGCTTGTTGTAAAATGTCTTTCCATACGTCCATACGCAAGATCGAGCAGCATGATATGCATGGTGTGTATATGGTAATCTGGATTCTCTTAATTTTGTTTTTATTTATATTTCAATTACCAATGCTTCATAATTGAAAATATAGCAGTCTCCGAATGTCCGGTAACACCAGATTTCAACGTTTAAAACGGAGAAATATTCGCAGATTTGTTCACACGCTCAGAGTCGACATAAATTATTTTGTTGGCGTCAACCTTGAAAATATTTTTTAGACGAGTACTTTTCTAAAGGGCGTGTAATTTTGTAATCAAATGTGTAAATTGAGCAAAAAATGATAAATGCTTGTATGAAATTAATCTCGACTCAGTAGAATTATCATGAATATCATGTGTTAAGAAAAGAAATAGGAAGCATCTTACCGCGATATTTTTCATCACCCCTCGAACATTCCCCAATATAAAAGAGGTTGACCTGGAGAGAAAAAGACATTTCCATTCGCTTGATGCTTCTAATATATTTGTATGATATATAAACTTCTGAAAATGTGTGTACTAGATAAAGCTCATATCTGAGTAACGCGTGTCAGCCGCAAGGTATGTTTCATTTTATTTCTCTAATTTATTTAAAATTTCGATAATATTAGTGGTACATGTATTATGTTTTCAGAATTATTAACCGATAAATCAATATTATTTATACGCGTTGAAGAAAAACACCTTACGCTTTTATTCAGTGACGGTTTTTGTTATAGTCAACAAATTTGAAACTTTTAACAGATCTCATGAATGCATAAAGTACGTTTTTAGATATAATTGAAGTCTTATTTTACATTCAATGTATTCATTCAAAAAGGCAGATTTATCTTTTAAGGAGATTTTTCTTTATTTTGTTTGGTTTAATATTGTATACTGATTTATCCGTGAAAATTATATTTGATAGTTTTTTACAGTGAAAATTATCAAAGTATAATTTCACACTGACTACTTTTTAAAGATTTTCCCAATGTGGTACCTCACTTTTATTTTCGCTTACACCAAGTCTGTTATTTTCATATTTACAAATACTTCTCAACAAATTAAATCAATATCAGGGGGTGGAACGTATAGCGGTGCGATACTCCTTTAAGCGAGGTGAAATCATGCGATACGGACTTATGGCGGATTTATTCGTGTAAACACACGTCAGAGTGAGTGTATTTTATTAATTATTTATTTTATTAATTATTTCATAAATCTTCAATTACAATTACATATTTTGTATTGAAGATGTGAAGATAGGACCGACACATATTTCATCAAAATTACAAGGGCTTAAATTCATACTTAAAAAAGTTATTGAAAGTAAACTGACGGCAACTGATTTTGTGTCGGTGAATAAAATCGCTAAAAGCAAGCTTATATTAATATAGTTTATTTCTTTTTCTTTTTTATTCTATAAGGGTAATCATAATTGATTTGCATAGCAAGTACCTTTGTGCTCCTATATCATGTATATACATAGAAGCTTACCGGACAAAATTTTTGAGTGTACGCTGGGTTTTGGTGCGATGAAATAACTGTTCGCTATTAAAGGTTCGATATTTGTTCATTTTCACATTTGTTGTACATGTTTCCCTATGATAACACTAAGAGATCTACCATATGTGTCCGTTTCCGGATTTCTGAAAAAAAAGGTTTGATATCTTCTTCTTTCCTTAAGGATTTACTTCAAATAAAAGTTTCGTATCACTATTTATATAAGTGTTACTATTTGAACTAAATTTTATTAGTTAGATTTCTACCTGTGATAATTAGGAGTTGGAAAAAGTAAACTTTACTCTAAAATCTTAGAAACTATATTTCTTGTCCTTTATCAATTTTAAGCAACGTTCATAGTTACAGTATTGTCATTCCAAAAATATGTCGCCATTTTCAACAACAAGAGTCTTGTTTTTGTACTGTATCTTGTTTGTGATTTATTTCTAATTTTGATCATAGAATTTGTGTTGAGTTTTGTTTCTGTAGTCTAATTTATTACTGAAGAATCCATGCAATTTAATTTTGAAGTTTATTTTCCACTTTCGTTCATCTATGATATGTTTGTCATTTGATTTTGCTCTTGATATTAATTAGGCAATACTGTATTCCTAGGCATTATTTCGAGCTTATTAAATTAGCGCTTTTCGCGTTGAGTATATTTCCGCGAATGTTTGTATCCGCAAAAAATATGCATGTAACAAATTCTCAAAAAATTGAAGCTTATAATTTCTACAGCGCACATCACTCACATAAAAGTTCAAACTGTTTTTTTAACTCAAACTTGCCACTTAGGCAAGGAAAATACAGCAGTTTACACACATTTAGAAAGACAATAGCTTGCGTAAGAGATCAACAGAATCATGTTAAAGGAGTCTTTAGGAACCTTAACAATAGTAAAACAGTATATGCCATCATTCCTTTATTCATTCTGCAACTTTTATATGTTGATATATACATTTTTTAATTTATTTTTATTCAAAAAGTAGGAATAGTAGGAATATTCATAAAAAGGAACAGAGTAAGAGTATGGCAAAGAAGTAGGAAATTAGGCAAAAGTAGGACTTATTTCAAGCTTGTATACTAAAATGGCCATAATGGCTTTCATCTTTGACCTTAAATGACATTAAATAAATAAGGGTCATCTAATAGGCTTTTGTCAGTGTTTTTTTTTAATTTTCTAAAAAAATATATGTAATATCCAATCCATAAAAGAAATCAAACAAGTATTTTTTAAAATAAATATTTCAAGTCACATTGCAAAAAAACAACAACAAAAAAACACAAAAAAAGAAAAACACAACAACACAATTTATAACATGTACTTCGTACTTCTCAAGGTATTGAATGAACATTAGAACGGATGGTAGGCGTGTTTTTCCGACAAGTGCATGTAATAAATAGTAATTCCACTTCTCATATGTTGCTGTTTTAATTAAAGTTATTTTTTCTCTGACAACATAAATATGTAATTAATAATAGAAAAACATGTTATTAAATGATAAAACCTTTACTGAATAAATGGAATAAACAAAACGAATATTATCGTTACTATTGCTTATTTGATAAAATTTTAAGTTTCTGTGCAATAACATATCTAATTTTAATATTTAACCTTTGTGAGATGAGAATATTTAACTTAACTTTATCATAGTACAATGTATAATACATTAATTGACACTACTGTTTTAATTGACACTGTGATTTACATATGATAAACATACAAACACAAAGCTAAATATTTCATCAATATTGAATAAGAATGTACTGTAATGAGGAACTCCCCGTCACCACAGAAAAACACACCAAAATTTGTGCGTACAGTTGGTTTCTCGGGCCAAATATTAGGCGTATAGTAAGAAAGCTGGAAATATTATATATATTTTCGGATAGATATGGAAAACTACTCTTTTATATCGTTTTGTTATCAAAAATAAACATGTAAGGACGTAAACTAATCGAATATCTAGTTTGAAAACTACTGATACATTATTTGTTTGCATGTGTACATCAGTTTGACGGTTGAATTTGCAGCAAGAAATACCTCAATAACTTCCTCAATACTATAAAATTTAGTATTTTGTTTTGACGATCACGCATAATTATTAGTTCTGATCAGCATGCACAATGCTTTTCTTCAAGAAATTACAGTAGACAACAAATATTTGAAAACAAACATGCGCATACCCACTTTCGTTTTCGTCTTCGACGGCCATTAGTCCGTATCGTATGGTTTCACCTCGCTTGAAAGAGTATGGCACCGCTATACGTTCGACCCCATTGGACAAACTGTTGAAGTTGATAAGACTGCTACAATGGTTTTCAATACAGGAACGATAATTTTGAGTTCTTATATAATTATGAAAAAATTAAGGTTCTACAAACATTTACTTATCTAGGTTTCGGTTTTCGGCTGAAGTTTTTGTTAGTTTGTTGTTCCCTCATTTTTAAAATGAGGACTGAGTACTCGCGTAAAACATTTTACGTTAGAAACCGTTCTATATATCTATTAGTATATACGAGTATAAAGGTCATCCTATCAGTGCAAAAATAGGTTATAAGAATATTACACCGGCTGCCGGTACAGAAGGAATAACTGGCTCTATAATAACTGTTTACGGCGGTAATTAGGCTCTACCGAGATTTCGCTTAACAGCTTTTATCATTTTGTACTTATTTTGTGGTCTAAATACAAGTGCACATGAAATTATTCAACATAAGTGACGGAACTGTGGTATCATTATAGTGTTTTGAACGTCAACGTGTACAAAAAAACCGCTCAACAGCTTTAGCTTTCAAAAAGGACATTATTATATGATATACATGTATAGCTATTGACATGAATATGGTGGCCTCAATTACACTTTTTTACGCTCTATCAGTAGGCGTTAAATTAAATGTACAATGTATCACTAAAAGTTGTCTAATTTAACACCGAATTTGAGCTGATTCTCATAAAAGTTGGAGACATTTTGGATGTGTCGTAGGGTTCCTCTTTCATAATAAAGGAGAGGCTGTTTTTGCCTGTAATGTCACGTAAACAAATAAAACAATTTACTAAGGTAGAAAGAAAAAGCAACACAGCTACTTAGTGGCGCCAACCAATGGAAGTATTTTCAATGTGCGCATGCGTGCCTTCCAATTCGCAACACATAAACACAACATGCATAATGGAAAACGACCTGAAAGTCTCACTTTTAAAGTAAGTGTATTAATAAAAGTGTGTCTACGGAATATTATGATCACTGAAGGTTTTGTTTTACCTAGTTTTTATCAAAGACTTGTACGATTTCTTTGTTTTAATGAAAACAGCTAGAGCTGGCTTGGGGAAAAGGATCATTTGGAATACTCTTAAAATTAGAAAATTATGTTGTCAATAAAAATATTCATATAATATAACTGCAAGCATCAAAGAAATGTATACACAGAATATTGCACACAAGATCTGTTTTATTCCTTAAAAAATCATAAAAGCATGACAACTGACCGAGTTCTTCGTACCGTATCAAGGGTCCGCACCGAAAAATGTGGCACCGTATACATTAGCGCTAGACTTGCAACGCATCATGATGATTAACCTTATGCTGAATAATCTTATTTGTGTTTATTTATTTTTGCCCATCTGGGCGAAGCTGTTATCAATCATTTACAAACCGGAGGAAAATGCATAAATACTAAAGATTCTTCTGTTCTAGAAGCAAACCTGGTTCTTTTGTGCGTCTGGCGTAAACACGTGGTACCATGGTCATATTTGAAAGAATCGGTTCGATAAGGACAACTAGAATGCAAATTGCTAATTTTCTTGTACATGTAAAGAAGCAAGTTTATATTGAAAATGTTATGAATAAATGTAACACAAATAGTCATATATAATTGTTACCATTTTATACATACTCTTTGAGATAGTGCTTACGGAGATAGTTTCTAAAAAAAGCTTTTTAAGATTCCTACTCAATCCAAAAACTCCTACTCAATATGTATAATTTGTTATTTGTCAATTATCATGTAAATGAAATGTTTATAAATAACATATAGATTGAACTAAACAATTTGAGTCAATATATTGGAAGAAATAGGAA